GTAACAGGTGCCTTACTACTAGGAGCAATGTTCGCTACTAGGAGCAAGGGCATCGCTACGAACGGAGCAAAGGCGCTACTACCACGATCTCCACCGGCGAAATTGTGACCAAGTCAGACCGGACCGAAGAGAGTGCAAGGCGATACCCGCGAAACGACTCAACAGGTCAACGTGAAGGGAGGTGAGGTAGCTAGAAGTAGCTAGAGGTAGCTAGTAGCTACAAGAATGCTACTACTTGGGACGCAGCAGAGCTCACGCTTCTTCAAGGAGGCTCCCCCCGCACTAATGATTTGGTGCATATATTTTTGGGAAACTAAATAGTAGTAAGGCACCTTGCTACTAGAAGCGTCCTGGCCACTAGTAGCGATGCACCTTGTTACTAGCAATAAGGCACCTTGTTACTAGTAACAAGAAGCTACAAGTAGCGATGCACCTGTTCCAAAAAGCGATGAACTTGTTACTAACCGTAAGAACCCTTCAGTTGCCAGCAACCTGTGTGGGGAATAAGCACAAGGTTCCCGTCAGTTGTCCGTTCACTGTATCGTTCGCCAATTGCTCCAAGTGGCACACAAAGCCTGGCAAGTCAAGGCATCCTCAATGCCTGACAGATGCAAAGGGGAGAAAGAGAAAGAATGAGACAAAGGTCAAAATTGCTTTTAAATAGAAGGAGCAAAGGGCATCGCTACTAGGAGCAAGGACGCTACTAGGGGCTCCTGGCCTTACTACTAGGAACAAGAAGCTACTAGTAACAAAGGTCATTTCTACTAGGAACAAAGTTAACTCTTAGCTCTTAACTCCTCGGCAGACTTTTCTGACCAGATGAAAGCGGACTGGGCAACTGGGCATGAGAAATCAGTCTCTCCAGCCTGTCCCACCATTTGCCGAAGTAACCACCTCAATCGTGTCTAACAACGTTTGAGGAAACGCATAACGCAAAAAGGAAGAAACGAGTTTTGTGGCTCCGGGCCGGGTCATCATACCTGCTCGAATCAACGTTTCAAAGCTTCAAGGAAGAAATAGGCAGGCAAAGAAGAAGAATGAAGGCGGAGGAAAAACAATAAAATACCTTCGCTGTAAGATTTCTCTGTGATCTTAATCTAACTGGCTAGAACCTTGACCCTCAAGCCAACTGATCAAGGAACGTGTGGAACTCCTTCAACACGACAATGCTAAACAAAATGAATGCGTGGCAATGCTGCGATGTCGCCGTGTTGGGCAAGGGTAAGTCTCAGGTTGGATAGCGAGGCGCGATGCTTTCTTGAGCAAACCAAATCGAAAAAGGCCACTAGAGCTTCAAACCTACCAGCGATGGCCTCCAACCTAATAGCAATGGCCTCCAACCTACTAGTGAAGGCCTCCAACCTAAGAGAGACGGCTTCCAACCCAATAGCCAGAGAGAGAGAGGAATAGATTCTGGGAGATGGAGGCACTCCGAGGCACTCCTGTTAGTATCAGTGGACAACTCATGGGGTCCGTGCCTTACTAGTAGTAACAGGTGCCTTACTAGTAGTTACAATGTTCGCTATTAGAAACAAGTGCATCGCTACTAGTAACAATAAGAATTTAATTAGAATTGTAACTACTAGCAAAGGAAGCTACGGGAGAACACGATTTCGTGACTCAAAACGCTCTACCTTTGCATTCCTGGGGCTGCAGCCCCTGCCCTGCAATCGCACAGCTTGGCACCGCACCTGCAGGGTTTTGAGCCTAGTAGCTTCTTGTTACTAGTAGTAAGGCACTTGTTACTAGTAGCGATGCACTTGTTCCTAGTAGCTTATTGTTTCTACTAGCTTCTTCTTCATAGTAGCTTCTTCCTAGGAGCCTCTAGTAGCGTCCTTGCTCTTAGTAGCAATGCCAGGAGCCCCTAGTAGCTTCTTGCTCCTTTAACAAACAACTTGATTCAGTTAAGCTGTTGTGAGGCTTAGAGCGACGGCTAGAATCTTCCGACTTTGAAACCCACAGTTAGCTTGCCACTTTCTTGGACATTTTTGAGGTGTCCCACAACAATGTTCCCGCAGAATCATGTTGGGACACCAACAAAGGAAGGCCTTGTAGAAAGGCTCACAAAGCAAAAGCGCTACTAGTCACCCGGCGTAGATGTAGTAAGGCACTTGTTACTAGTAGCGATGCACTTGTTACTAGTCACCCGGCGTAGATTCAATTTCGTCAAAAAAGAACTTGTGGTCTGAGTCTTTGGCCGAGTGCGACTGGTAGCGCTGGGCCCAGCAGCGCGAAGACCTGACCAATCAAAGAACAGTTATCATCACGATGATGTGCAGCGTGTCATCTGCCCATGGCACATCAAACTTGCCAGAAAACCACCCATTAAAGCAAGTCGAAGGACGCTACGAACGGGGCTCCTGGCCTTACTACTACGAACAGAGCACTTTGTATGCGATCGTTGCAAGCACCACAAATGATGCGATCATTGGTGCCAGGTGCCGCTCTTCCGCTGCTAGTAACAAGTGCCTTACTAGTACTAACAGGTGCCTTACTAGTAGAAACAAGAAGCTATTAGAAACAAGTGCCTTACTAGTAGTAACAATAAGAATTTAATTAGAATTCTAACCACAAATGATGCGATCATTGGCCAGTTGCCGCTCTTCCGTCTTTGGGGTCGACCAACCGTCCCAGATTTGTCCAAGCCGCGAAGTCGCCAAGGGAAACAGCCAACGACTATTCGTTTTCGTCTGTTTTTCTTCAAGACCTGACAGCCCACAAGGTAAACTCATGTTGAATCCGTGCTGAATGAACTTCACAAACTGCCACACATGTGCAGTGCAAGGTGACCGATGAGCACACATGGATGAGAAGTCCAGAATGGACGAGAGCGTGGTTCAATGTCGCTTGCCTCAAGCAAACAAGGACCTTCACAAAGATTCACATAGAAAGACAGTTGAAGGGCTTGGAGAACAAATTCTTGCTCAGCACAAACCAAAAGCGCCACAAGACAGCTGGAGGACTTGCGAGAGCTCCAATCTCTTCAGGCGAGAGATCAGAATCAACTGACTGGATGAGCATAGAAGCGACAGAACAAGAACGCTAGTAGTAACAGGTGCATCGCTACTAGTAACTATTGGATGAGCATAGAAGCGACAGACACAGAGAGAGCTGGATTGTCTGCAGCAACAGCAAACACCAAGTGATGCTCCTGGCACGTCAAACGCCAGCGGTGTCAATTGCCTTGTGTCGAACATGTTGCAGAGCACGAGAGAGACTCACCATGGCTGATTTCCTCTCCTTTTTCCACTAGGAACAAGAAGCTACTAGGGGCTCCTGGTGAGAGCTCTGATGCGCCACATGCAGGTTGACGTCATTGGCACATGACTCGGCATCTTAAATCACCACCGCTTTGCGCTTGGTTCATGCGGGCTGTGCTCAGCACTTCTATTTGACACGTCAAACACCTTAAGCAGTTTGCAGTGGACTTGGAATTGACACCTCCACCTAGCACTCCATATTTCATAGTTTGTGAGAATGGATGCCTGGCAGTACGCTCAGTTGTAGTTCTTTCTTTTTAGACCTTTCCGTTTTTCTTTCATGTTAATTCTCCTTTTCTGATGTCTTTTCGAACAAAGTGAAACCACACAACGCCACAACGACGCTTGGCGTCCAGGCCAGGCGCATCACGAGGGTGCGCCCCAGTGTCGTCCAAGGACTTTGAGAAAGTTCACGGAAAAAGAAACATGTCGAAACGAATAGTAGTGGCCTTGCTCCTAGTAGCTTCTTGTTCCTAGTAGTAATGCCAGGAGCTACTAGTAGCATCCTTGTTACTATGAATGAGAATGAATTGTTCTTTTGATCTGTTTATTCCTTAGAAAGTCCAACTTGACACTCGCCGGTCGCCTTTCAAGCGACCCAAGGCCTTCCTAACAGAGTCGACGGTTTTTCGTTTTGACTGTTTACGCTGTACGGGTCGCGGAAACACTCTATTTTTCGACTCTGCCTCAGTCTCAAATTCGTGAATTCGTGTCAATTTCGCCTTGCGGATTCTGCGACACCGGCATCACGAGGTCATTTCGGCTACAATGCGTTGGACAAGAGCGATCGGACGCTACTAGGGGCTCCTGGCATCGCTACTAGGAGCAAAGACGCTACTAGGGGCTCCTGGCCGTACTACTAGGAGCATCCTTACTACTAGTAACAAGAAGCTCCTACTAAGAAAGACACATACACAAAAGAGCAATATTCATCACTCATCA